ACACACACACACACACACACACACACACAAAACAAAACAAAACAAAAAACAAGAAGCAGATCAATAAAATAGGGCCTGTGTGAAATGGGGGGCTTCAGCAGCACACGGGGGCTGCAGAGATGAAAGTGACATGGCCACTATAGGGTCTATGAACGGCACAGAGCGGAGCCCCCAAACTGAGGCTGAATGAGCTGAATAGGCTCATCCATTCTTCCCTCCTTTCACTCTCCATAGGCCTGAACTGTTGGAACTCTTCATTCCTCACAATGGCCAAACGCACTAAAACTTTTTCTTTTTTCTTCTCATGCAAATCACCTCAGCCCTGACCGCCAGTGTCATCATGTGCAGCAAAAAAACACACATGAACCTTCTCAGTTTTTAAAAAAGGATCACAAATGCTTCATCATCTGAACCTTTAAAAAAATCTAAAAATTCTTTAGAAAAAGCTTCATTTTGGCCTTAAAGTCCAAAAAAATCCTAATTTTCCTAAATCTGTGTCATTAACATACAAATAAATAAATAATAATAATAAAGCAGATTTTCAAATGTGACTTAGAAAAATTCCCACCAAAGACGGGGCTTCTTTCCCACTAACATTTAGGCCAAAGCAAGTAAGAAAAAAGGGGGACTCATAAAAGTCCACCCATGACTTTGGAGATCATTAGCAGCGCCTGTTAGATAGGAGGGAAAGCCAACAGCAAATATAGCTGCTAAAGGGCCCCACAAAGGCGTGAAGTGTTTGTTGACTGCTCAGGCTGCAGAGCAAACAGTAAACTTTGAATCTTTCAACAATAAGTACACATCTCCCACAGTCCAAGGCACTGATGTGTCCACCATTCCTCAGCTCACTGTTTGATTTTTGCTCCTTTGTACCATTACAGGATTAAAAAAGTGGAGCGTGTGGCTGACATCAGAATAACTACAATGAAGCAGGAAAAAAATATATATCAAAGGTTATTTTTGCTTGAAATGAAACAAATGAAAAGAAGATAAAAATACAGTCGGCTTTGGGTACGTTAGTGCTAAACTGTGAAAAGTGAAGCAGGAGGATTGGCGCCGGGTATTCTGATCACATCTCTTCCCATATGGATCAAGTTGCAGGAGCAAAAATTTTTTGGATTCCTGTGTCAGATAAGTTCAAAGTGCAAATGAGATGTGAAGCTGCCCTAAAAGCTTCATCTGCCGCTGACACGCAAGGCAGCCGAAACAGAGGAAGAAGAGGAGGAGGAGGAGGAACAGCAGTGAAACACTTTCTAACACAAGAGAGGAAAAAAAACCCAGCAACATTAAAGCGACTCCAGTTAGCATCTGCACGAACTTCTCCTACCTTCACTGACGTCTCTTTTTCTCCTCGAAGCTCTTCCAGCTCCGTGTTTTTGCCGGGGGTGGGGGGTTGAGGACTGTGCCAGGAGTCGAGATTCCCGTAAACTAGAACCGAGCTGGCACCAGCACTGAGCGACGCTCACCAGGCTGGACGCAAAACTCCATGAACCGAGTTAAGAAAAGTTTGGAAAGCCGCAAAGTTTGCGCGACATTACACTCCTCTCTCTCTCTCTCGATCGCTCTCTCTCTTTCGTCTCCCGATTCAGAGCGCAGTGTCTAACTTTTTCTTACAATCCATCTTCCTGAAGAGGTGCGCTTGTGCGTGCGTGCGTGCTGTGCTGTGCGCGCTCTCAGCTAACTAACCTCATGCTTAAGTTTCTTCCTTGATGCGCGTAAAAGTTTGGAAGCAAACGCGGTTTGTGTGCGTCTCACGGCAGTTGTTGCAGAGACATGCGGTGCTGTTGAGATCTTCAGACTGCTGATCTGTTTTCAATCCGACCCCCCTCCTTCTCTCTCTCTCTGTCTCTCTTCCCCCCCTCACCATCCCTCCTCTCACTCCCCGTGCTCCCTGGTGAGTTGGGCCATTTGCTGCACCAGATGGGCCGGGCTAACTCAATCCAGCAGTTGCAGAAAGCAGGGGGAAAAAGTTAGCTTAAGTTTCAGTTATTGCCCGGTTTTTCACAGGCTTCATCTTTAAGCGTGTCTATCTGAGCCGGGTTTAGACTTCACGCTTAAAATGCGCAAATCTGCATCAGCTGAAGCGCTGATGTTGGAAAAGAAATGAGCGCCTGGTAATTTTCCCTTTTGGGAGCAGTGATTTCTTTGAGTGGGTGGACACATTATCAAAGCGCTCTTTTATCATGAACAAACCAAACGCGCATTCAGCAACAGATACATCCACAGCCTGTAGTTCCAGTCACAGCTTGTTGATTTAAAAAGTAGACAACAGGCAATCTTCATAATTCATGCTTTGTTTACTTCCATGTAGGCTTTTTCATCTTGGTTGGAACCTTTTATTGAGCGGTGGAGCGGGGGCAGCACGGTGCGGACAAACGGCATTTATGATGTGATGCATGTACAGTAGATTTCACCTCACATAACCCAGGCAGTGGCAGAGCGTTCAAAGGCTCATTTTGTGGTTCTTTTTTCAAAATATTAGATGTTCTTTTTTAAGGAAAGTGACGATGTGGAAAGAGAAGACAGAAACTGAGGGAAGCCAGGTCCACTCTGGACAAGTGCGCGAAGTTTACTTTTAATCAAATCTGAATTTAGCTGAAGAGTAAAAAGACTGAACTCTAAATCCTGCTTAAGTACAGATTCATGATAAAATAAATAAATAAAAAATACCCATAGTAACCAAAGTTGAAGGCCTCAATCTTAGAATATATACCCCAGCAGATGTTTTTCCATGTGAGCACCACTTTAATGCTGAAGTGCCTCATGGTGAAGCTGATTTACTGACTTTATCAGCCACAAAATGCCAAGGCAGCATCTTATTTGTTAAAAAAAGAGGAACATGGTTCCCATGCAGGTGTCACAAGGTCTCTAAAAATTTTAGATTTACAGAACATGAATGCAGGACCTAGTGCTTCCCAGTGGGACTTCCCAGTGGGAACTTGGGGAAAGGATGCCAACGTGGCATCCTTTCCCCAAGTTCACACCATGCAGCACCTGACCATCCACATAATGCAAAAGAAAATGAGAACCGTGCTCCAGCTCGCCTCCTCACTTTCCGGTCTTAAGTGAATTTGCGTTTAACACAGGCTTACCAGAAGCTGCAGAGCTCTGTGCATTCTGACTCTTTCACACATGGAGCATGGAAAATTTCAGGAGAATCAGTAGTCCTTTTTCACAGGCAGGACATAGTCTTACTACAGTAAGTGCCTGTCTGGTTTAGGTGAAGCTGCCTGATGGAGCGCTTAATGAAACAGGTCATTAGCTGCTTTATTCACACATCAGTGCACAGACTTTGTACCAGGTATCTTGCAGGTTAAAGTCTGAAGAACACTCGATCCATCAGCATCGGCCTTGTCAACATTTCTAAAAGTCCTGTTTTTAAAAAGCTGGATGTTGCAGTGAATGTGTGAAAACAGAAAACAGAAATTATATATATAAACTCATCAGTTTTCCTTTTCAAATAAAATATAATAATAACTGAGTTTTCATGTCCTCTCTGCAGTCTGTGCAGACCATCAAGTGGGTTGTTCCCTGTCTCCACCAATCTGCATTTGGAAATGTCCCCAAGCAAGATACTGAACCCCAAAGCTCCTGATGCATGCTTTGCGTCAGAATGTGAGTGGCAGTTAAAAAGTACTTGAAGTGCAGCGCGTGTGTGAAGTCTGAGTGGATAGTAAGAGTAGAAAAGTGTTACATAAATACCAGTTTACCAATGAGCTGTCCCCACTCATGACACAGTCACATACAACACTGCACAAATGTCTTGAGCTGTCACTCATTTCTTCATATTTCACTCAGAAAATGGAAAATAAGTCCAGCAGTTTATCGCATGCTTATATGTTTGTATATGTTTCCACTTTGAAACGTGTGCAAACACAGCATACGAGGCAAAAACAGAGTGTGTACAATCCTAATGAGCCTGAAAGTCAATATTTAGTATGACCGCCTTTACAACACAGCCTGAACTCTCTTAGGTAGCTTTCTTGCAATTTCTGTAAGTGGTCTTCAGGAATGGTTGTCTAGTTTTCTCGAAGAAAATCTAAAGCGATTTTATCTCACTGTTGACTATCTTTTATTCTGTTTTCTGTCAAAATGGTTCCACACAGAGACCCTCAAATGAGAAGAGTTGCTTCAGTGGGGTTCAGAATGCGGGATTGTCATGTGGTTCATATAGATTTCAGATAGTTCCCGGAAGTGCTGTGCAGGGATTTGGAATATGTAAATATAGGGAGGCAGAGCTCATCTTTCAGGAATTAGTCATGAATAAAAACATTGCAATACAATAGTTGGTAATGCCAAAGTGAAGTGCATGTAGTTAGATTTCTGTATATAAATTAATAAAATATTAAAGCTCTAATATTAACTGCAAGTGTTAACAAACCTTTAACTGCAGTTTTGACATAGTTGAGCTGATCATTACAGTGAGAAATCTGGCTGCTTTCATTAATGTAACAGAATAAATATTTAAAAATGATTTATTACCTAGCTGCCAGTTTTTTTCATGGTGGTTTAAGTAATCCCGTGATAACTAACATGATGATAAGTGTGTCTACAAGCTAATATTTAACTTGGTCAACAAAACAAGGTCAGATTTTGAAGCTTTTTTTTTTTTACTGATTCCATAATGTTAGATGAAATAATATTAACATAAATTAATTCACAATTAATTATATGCTCCTGGTTATTATTATGTTTGCTAACCTAGTCTGTCATCAACTATCATGGCCAAAATCTACAAGTGAATTTGATTTCATTAATTAAAATTAACATTAAACATTTTTTAAAAGTGCATTTTAAACTTCTGTGTCACTATCTCTATGGCATGGGTTGCATATGGTGCTAACTTCTGGGAGCCATTGCAAGATTTTTGAGCCGCCATTGCTGTGTATTAAAAAACAACTAAATACCAGGATGCAATCACTCATCGTGGTGACTTCTTGACTGTGAGCTGACTGCAGGTTTCTGCAGCCTTATAAACAGTACAGCTGCATAATGACTGAAACTTGCAGTGCTGCCCAACAATAAGCCACAAACTCAGTTTTATAACTATATAGCAGTTGAGTAAACAGAGACTCAAAGCTGAATGACTGGTGATGTTAGACACCGACTCACAGATGCATTCATTCTTCATCGGCTTTTCATCCCTGCAAGGCTTTCTTGTTTTTTGAGGACCTGTCAATCACAGAGCCCCCTCACACACACACACACACACACACACACACACACACACACACACACACACAGTCCATAAAAGAGGCCTTTTAGCATGTTTTCGTGATCCTGCCCTGCCATTCATGTGTGGGAGAAACAAGCACTAACATGGACATCCCAGGTAACCCTGGCCGCACATGTTCAGCTCCAGAGCAAAGAGAACCAGGAGAGACGGAGTCACAGGAGGGCTGTCAGGCCTAGCTAGTTTTGGGGCTCAAGGTGCCACCTTTTGTGGCATTCTCTCTTTGCGCCTGCATCATGCCTGAGTGGCCACTGTGAAAACCAGCCTGTGCACATGAGCGTCCTCTGTGCCTGTATGTGTCCTCAAAAGAGGGTGAATGCCAGTGTCAGGCCTCTCTCCCGTGCTACTACACTCTCACAGGCAGGAATTTTAATGAGTGTTTTTTTCCCCTGATTACAGCAGAAGAATGTAACGGCAGAGATCGAACACCAAAGCTTTTGGACAGAGAATCAAAGAGGGAACAAGTATAAAAGGAAGGAGGTGAGGTGAAGACATGCAAAGGATTCAAAGTCTGACCACAAGATCATAGTTTGATCGTATTAGCTCATGCATTCTTTAGTGATGACCCCTGCAGCCCGTGATGGTGCAGCTTATTATTTGCCCGTGTTTATAGGTCACATGTTGCCTTAAATGAAATTGTTGGCCAATCTGGTGGATTTCAGTTTGATCTGAAGGTCAGTGTCTGCGTAATAGAAACTCAGCGTTTGTCTTTATAGCATACTTCTTACTGATAACTTGGCAGGTCGGTGATCCATTGCTCAATCATGCTGCTATTTTGATTTCACTGTTAGAAAAAAATCACTCCGAGATGTTTTGCAGCGTTATATATTTAAGATTATTCATCATTACGTCAACTTTTCTGCATTGTTTTACATAATGAAGAAAAAAGTAATAAGCCTAAGATCTGTGAAACAAGTCAAGTTAATGTTTTTTAAATACACAGTAAAAGTTGTGGCTAAAACACATTGTCTGATAAATATACAAATATTTAGAAATCTATGTCGTATCAAAGTTAAAATTTCATTATTAAAGAATAATAATAATTGTTTTAAAATTATTATTTGAAAGAAGGTTTCTAATGGTTACCCGTCATCTCAGTGTTAAAGCAGCATAAATTCTGTCCCAGTGCTGAGTTAAAGGATGCTTGACTAACACTGCCATGACTCACTGCACCACCCTGTGGTTCCAAGTGGCATTACACAGGGAGTACATCTCTGCAACACAACAAACCAGCGCAGTCTCACAGCAGTTTTCAAATAGTTCTAGTTAAATCTATTGATTTGTATCTCTGAACATACATTTTTTCATCTCCCTGAACATGACTTCTCATCTATTCAGTCACATATGAACTATTTTGTGTTTATGTGCCCAAAATATTTTTCACTTTTTAATGGCCAAAAGTTCGTAGGGGGTTGAGTCACACATTTGACCGATTTTCATTCATCCTTTATTATTATTATTTTTAATATGTTATTAATTTTGAAAGATGAATAACTTTTTTAATGGTAAACATATGTTGCTTGGTGTAGCCTTTAAAAATTACTTGGTTCAGATTACGCGCTGTAACAATGTGGTTAGGTTTAGAGATTCATCACAGTTGCCACTCCTTTTAAAGGTCTGTTTTCTTGGCTACCGTGGTTA